AGCTGCGATGTTTGAAAGGGGGCTATAATCTATATAAACATCAAATACAGCCAGATTGGGGTTAAATCATACTCTTTTAGAGGAATAGTAGTCTACTCCATGGCCTGGGGATTCCAACAAGCGAGTGCACAACTGGGTACGCGACTGCACCTTTTAGATGTAGCTCAGGAGGTGATTTGCACAAAACGATCACAAACAGGAGGAATCTGCAAAGACCGGGAGAAACAGAAGGAACAATATTTCTGTCAATTGTCGTTTCAAGTTCCGAGTACTTTTGCGAATCCTGTTTTCAAACCTTAGAAGGTTCAAAAGCACAAAAACTCCAAAACCGGCGCCCCTTTCTGGCTCTGGTGACATCGGTGCTTTTTCCAAGGCTTTGCGGAGATGTGCTTTTCTCAGGTCACCTATGGTATCTCAGTGATCGCTCGGCTCATCACTTTGAGAATGTCTTTCAAGAGCCTCATGGCGCGGAAGAGCGGAGCCTTTGACGGCAGTCCGAAGCGACGGGTCACGATCGTGAGTCCGGACCGGCGACGGGAGAAGGACGAGGGACGAGCCCAAAGCGAGGCGAATCACTCCAAGCCTGGCTATTGGGTCTTGCACCTCTTTCCGCTACAGAGTTTTTCCAACGAAGGTCGTGGGTTACATGTTGAGATGAAGCAAAATCTGAATCTACTTTACTTCTCAAACCCGACTCAATCGTGGTGGATCTAGGTCATGGTGCACCACCGGTGACCGAGCGAAAAAAGGAATCAGGCTCCTTGGACACCCTGTTTTTGTGAGTGCTCGCTGGTGCATACATGTACAGCGGATGTCTAAGTGGTGTTGTTCATCCAATCCACCCATCTTTTCGGGTGACTTGATTCACTTGATGGAGTGAACGAACAAGGTCACCCGGTTGGGTTGTGAAGAAGCGGTTGGTTTGAGAAGTCATCCCTTGCATGACAAAGTCGTGGCAAGACGTACATCACGATCCTTCGATGAAAAGCAGTGGATGAAACATGGCCGGTTCCCGGGGCAGACAGTTCGACCAATCCAACTCACCGCTGTTGGGATCAATTTGGACGAACCGCTGGTGATCACTGATAACGTGACAATTTCATTTGCGGATGATGTTGCTATGTTCAGAATTTTTGATCCAAAGAATTTTGGGTGCTAGTCTTCATGGAAAACAGTGTTATATTGGTGCGAAAAGCCCTTCAGGAAGATGCTTGACCGTGGCCTACATGTTCTTCGGCACGATGAACTGGCACCTGGACGCAGATTTGGGGTGTGCTGGGTTCATTCAGGGTGTTCAACCGTTGAAAAACCTGGGAACATATACCCCACATAAGCCCTCCAATGACTGTCCTCTTGCAAGCCTGTGGTTTTCTCCTGAGTCTTGGGGAGTTTTGTATCCTTGTTAATTCTCCCCGCTAACTCGCATTTGGGAGAAGCCGCTCGGCGAAGCCTCGAAGAGAATTCTAGCGATGTTTGAAAGAAGCACCCTCGCTCTTCAAGTCATCTCTTCTTTTCATGCACCGGTGGATGTGAACAGCACCCTGGCACAACTGGAGATGACTTGAAGACAACTGGAGAGTAGCATTTTTGGTGACGTGCCGAGGAGCTAAGAGGCTTCCTGGGACGTCGTCTTCTTCGAATCACCCAAACAAACTTTGTTTGCCCTCCACCATGGCAGCGGTGACTCATCGACGCTGCTGGTAAGGATCGATTCAGAAGTGAACAGACAACTGCTGGGCGGATTTGGACAACTGCTTGGCCCATCTAGAAAATTCAGTGTTTGTAGTGTGTAGTTACCTGTGGAGTTGGGGGTTCCATCCAGGAATCTGATCATGTTGTTCTTGGTGCTTTTGGACCCGAACGTTGGCTACAAGGTCCAGGTTCCCTGAGTTTCTGAACCTTCAGACATCATGCCCCCCTTCTTGGTTCAAGGGAAACAGGTTTCCGTGTGCCCGAAGGAGCAACACCCAAACCTTCCAAAACACCGATCTGTTGCAGACTCCTTGGTCTAGACCAGCATCCTGCAGTCGTGAGAAGGTATCTCCTGCGTCCGGCCAAACTGGGCCTTCGGATCTTTCTTCGAACGCCGCTGATTCCATACCGCTCAGTCAGTCGGAGTGTTCCGAAAGCGCTCCCAAGCGAAGGCGCGCTCCACCGAAGGCTCATCTTCCTGACCACGTACTACGTGGCGCACGACGCAGCGAGCACGATCTCTCGAACGCGCAAGGCGCGACAAACATCTCGGCGAGCGGTTGACATCTGCGCGAGATCGGCGAGCGACGGCGAACGCCTCTGTGGGCCAGTGTGTTGGGTTGGACTATTGGCCCAATAGGATTTGGGGTAGGGGTGCCTTGAATGTGTTTTATTGACCATTGACAGTTGGTAAATACTACTTTGGTCAGACAGTGGACCGATGGGTTGGACTGAAAGGCATGGTTGACCCGTGGTTGGACTGTAAAGCTTCTTAAAGGAGCGCAGCACGAAGCCAACTAAGTCAAGGCCTTCTTGCAAGGGGCGCTTGAGTGACCGAGCGCCTAGTCAGCGTATCAGAAGAGAAGAACTTTTACACTGACCCACTGACCCACTCCTTCAATTTGAAAGCTTGGCAAGGTGATTCAAAGAGGCTGGTACCAAAAAAAAAGCTCTGTAACAATTCTGTAGCTTCACAAAACGTTTCCAATGCATACGGTGTCGAGCAGAATACAAAAGAAATCAACAAACATGAACGTGTGTGCTGAAAGTATAAAGAAGGCTGGCAACTTTCTGGTGGCAACTTTCCGGCTGTTCTGTTGCGCCTTTGTACATTCTGAGCTGAGATACCTTTAGCTTCAAAACGCTTTGCGTGTCCAAGTTGTTCAGAGCTTGCTCGGCCAACCAGGCATGCAAGCAATCCGGAGCAGAACTCGTTGGTAGTTAAGCAGGTTGCCATGCTTTTGTCTGTAAAGTTCACAAGCTCGCTCTGAAGCCAGAAAATTGCAGAAAGCAATCTCACACTTAATTTCTGCGGGCTTTGCAAGCTTTCTGGACTTCTTAAAAGCTGGAAACCTTGGAGAAATGCTCTAAGCTGGCGGAGGAGGAAGAAGAAGCAGCAGAAGCAGGAGAAGGAGAAGGAGGAGAAGAAGAAGGGCCAGCCGGTTTCCATAGATGGAGGAATGTCAAGGAGGTCTTGAAACACGTGCTGATTGCAAACGATTTCGATAGCCCTCTTGAACCTTAAGTCGCTCGCTCCCTTGCTCTCTCTCTCTCTCGCTCTCTCTCTCTCTCTCTGTGTCTGTGTGCAGCCTCGTGCACCGGAACTGTGCATCCCATTCTACTCTCCGCCCACGTCTCACCCGAATTCCAAGCAGATACGCTTGTTTTCACAAAAAAAACTTGGTGTCCGACAAGCACGCCGTCGGCAAAGACAACCCGAAAGTTCATACTTTCAACTTTCCAGCGGAGACAACACATTTCTTTACTTTCTCTTGTATGTATACATGTATATATGTTTCGTTTTAGCATTCAGGGCGCATGCAGCTCTTTAGTTGTTTGTGGTTTCTTCGCCAAAGTTATGACCAGGTTCTCTTGGGTTGAAACCATTCAGTGTTTTCCACATCGGCTGGCACACGGGTCTGCGCCTCGCGCCAAAGCCCGTTTTTTCACCTGAAGAGGTGAACATGGAGCTGATCGAGCAGGAGTCGACTCAGTTCTCCGACTCCCACGGGGCGGTCTTCAGCCGCGAGCCCCATCTTCACCGAGCGTTTCACACCGTTGTGTCCGGGTGATGTGTTCCGATGGGCGACTTCTGGCGGATCAGCGAAATGGGTTGATGAAGGCTTGCAGAGATGAAGATTGCTATTAGGTTGGAGGCCATTGCTATTAAGGAAAGGATGGGGCAAATCGCAATCGGTTCCGTCCCGCTCCGACGGAATGGCGGGGTCCTTCACCAGCTCAATGGCGATGTCTGCGCTTGTTGGCAATGGGCAAATCTCCTTCCTCAGGCCAACAAGGGTCATTTGGGCATAAGCAGCCCTTTGACAATGAACCTTTTCCAGCCTCCACCGGGTTCCTACATCATTCAGACACCTCACCAGGAGGATGTTATATACACATGTTTTTTTATTTTCCTTCTTCGCCACCCTCGAGTTTTGTTTATTCATATTTTTCTCCGCAACTCAATGGCCATCTTTCTGGCAATGGCCGTTCAGAGGGTCGAACAGCCACTGCGCCATCGGTTCTTAGGAAGTCAACCGGTGTCTTGGAAGCCACGCGTGGGTTGCAGCTGGGAGCGGGCCAAACGGAGCCGGTGCGAGGGCCACGGAAGTGAAGGGAAGTGAAGGAAGGGAACAAGGAGAAGCAGCATGAAGTGAACGTAGAATTCTGGAAGTGTTGAACTCTTGAGCTCCAGAAGTTTATTGACGAGATGAACAGGTATACGGACCCCTAGCCACGACCGCGTGTGAAGGCCAGCGCCCATGACCAGTGGCCGGGCTACTTAAAAACCCCAAAGGAGCCTTTTTTCATTGAGTTTAGATGCTTTTAGCAAACCCAAAAGCTTTGCCCATTATTGGACAGGTGGCCCTGGTGGTGTCTTTAAGAAGTCCAGCACCAAACCCTGAGAACTGCGTGCATGGGTTAAATCAGAGGCCTGGTGAGCACATGGGCCTTTTAGTGGCTTCCTGGGTCGCCATGGCACAACTTCCACCTGAGTTTTGGGGTTCTTGAGTTCTGAAACCTCAGCCCGTTGGCTCCCCAAACGAAACGAATCGTGTTTTTCAGCGCCGAGTGCCGAATCGTTGGGACATCTTCCCCCCCTGAAGTGGATCCGAGACGATGGCCGGTTTTCATGCCGGGCGATGGCGCAAGGTGCTTGGTGCACAACGATTGGAACTACACTGCTTGTAACCTGGCCAGATGAGTGGAACCGCGTGAACCGCGTTTTAGTAGTTTTCGGAGAGCGGGTGGAGTGGCACAACTTCGGGGGGTGGCACAAAACCAGCGAAACCAAACACCGCACAGTGCCAGTTGAGAGTTTTTTGGGGCCTTTGAACATTGATCAGTTCACGGCAGTCAAGTTCTTCAATGAAAGGCCGCGGTGCCTGGGCCATGTGAACCAGGTCCCAGTCCCGTTGATTCGGTCTTTCATGGGAGAAGAGATAGGAGGAGAACGGATGCCTGTGAACATCTCCGGGATGCATTCGCAGTGAACATGTGGGGGTTGACCAGGGATGTGTTCGCATCCCTTTTTGGGGTGAGACGGTGAGACGTTTAGACGGAAACAGGTTCGGACACCTCTACAAGATCACAAGCTTCTTCACCTGCCAGAGTCTATAGACCTTCGGAACTTTCAAGTGTTCACTTGGACACGTGATAGCAAGATTCTTGCTTGGACACGTGGTTCAATTTTCGATACAATGCAGGGGCCGCACTTGGATGGCATGGGCCAACAAGCATCCATCCAAGCTGCAGTGTAAACGTACCTCCTGCCGGATTTCTTGAAGCTGTGCTTGTCATGGCTTGCGGAAAGCTTTGATACTTTTCTTGCCTTTATCTCGCTAGTACCGGTCAACGTTGGCAATGGGTCTAACACCCTTCTCTTTCCAGTATGTGTGTTCGTTTTTTGCCTTTTAGAAGCATGACTTGTGAGCTAGGCGTTCTCCGCGGAGCAAAGTGCCCACCGACGGTTCAACAGTCTATCCAAAGGTGAGCTCATTTGTTTGGCAGGTCTTCTCTTCTGTATGGCTACTGGCCATTGACCTGCAGAGTTCTCAGACAGATGGTCTTCCGTGTTTTATTGGGCACCATCTGAGGTGATGTCCATGTGAAGACAGCTTGCACGAAACCGTATGACCCTACGGCTTCCTACCCCAATGGCGACTGCGTTGCCACCGTTTGGCTAGACTGGGCCCAGTGCCGCTCGGAGATAAGGGTGGAGCTGGGGAAAGGTAGGTGGAGAGGGTATGGTAGAGGATTTGCATAGGGGCTTTAGCCAGGTTGGGTTTCTCTTGCGTTTAGTATTTTGCCTGTGTGCTTTCTTGCATCGCTGGCCTGGCCTGCTTGTTTGTACCATTTGGGAGGCCTCGATGATTCCCGTTGCTTGCAACACTCCCACAAAAACCAACATCTTCTGTTACACCTGCAGAACCATGCAGAACCCGAAGTTCGCACACTTCTGGCAAATGTACTGACTCACCCAGAAGTGAAGGAACCAAATCATTTGAGATGATTCGACCAGGTTCTAGCTTTCTTCAACACTTGTGCAACACAAGAGTCTCCACTGCCAGTCAGGGCATTGCTTTCTTCCACTTTGCGGCTGCTAGAAGACAGGTCTGATGCAAAGTTCTGCCAGTTGGTAGCCATGCTGCCGCTTCCGCTCAAAACGGCAGGCTGCGTCAGTGAGACGGTATCGCTGGATAAACCGAAGGTGACCTTCTTCAGCAGAGAGATCAGTGTCAGCCACTTGGAGGTCCATTTTTGGGGCGCCACAAATTCGGTTGAGAGAAATGAGAGACTTTTTTTTATGTTCACCTGTGAACCTTGCGGGTTGGGTCGACCTTGGTTGAAGTTCTTACGTCTGAAGTTCCTGCCTGGTTTTCCAAGGACGTGGTTAGGTGTTCAGGTTTTCCTGACCGGTTTGTGGCGAAGGACATGAATGAAAGTGTGAAAGCGATGGTTGCGATGGGTGGGGCAAATCTGGCAGTGAGTTCCCATGAGTCTTCCAAGTTGATGTGAGCAGCAGTGGGTTTTCATCCCCTTAGCAACCATCGGATGGGCTGCCTCAACCAACTTCCGCGTCGCTTGATGTCTGGGCAGACCTTGAATGATTCACAAACCCGCCAAATCTGGGTTTTTCTCCCTTGCATCCATCAGGCGCAGTTTTATCTCCCAAGCAGATTGAACATCCAGCAAGCCCCATGGAGCCCTGAAATTGCCCTTGGGCACCAGTTTGGGGATGTTCACGACAACATTCATGAAACAGCTTGCAATCTGTTCTTCAGACTCGATATGTGCCAATTCAGTTCCTCGGTTTTGAGGTTTTGCTCGGTGCTGTTTCTTGACTCCGACGAACCTGATCACTAACAGCTCTGTCGTTTTTTTCCCCCACTGAGTGCGCTCCCCTGCCCAGGCATTCTTTTTATGTTAGTGAAGTGGATGGCCATCCTCTTGGTGGGATGGGTGCCTCAGAAGAAAGCGGGCACTCCGGGTGGCCGGCGGGGATTTTCAAATCTCGTCTTATATAAGTGCCTCTGAAAAACCAATTTCTTGATTTCAGAATCCATACACGCAACCACAGAATCATTTGAAATAGACTGGTTGGGACCGGCATGGGCTGAGATTGACCCAAATAGACAGGAACAGAGGCTCTCCCAATAGACAGGAACCGAGTTTCGGACGGGTTGTTTATCTTCTTACCCGGCACGACGACCAGCGGCTTCCTGTCACGAAAAACCACCGTAACAAGAAGCTACTAGTAACCACCGTCTTGGAGCACTGGTCCGGTGCCGCCCACGGCCCACGGCGTCGCCGGTGCTCGGCACCGGGGCCGGTGCTCAGGGGTCTTGGGGACAGGCGAAGCTGGAAAGGTGGCGTTTCTCTTTTACAGGTTGTAAGAAAACTAACATGGCAACCTAGAGGCAACTCGGAAGGAATTTTCATGAAGTTTCTATCTAAGGGTCTCAACAAGACCATGAGCTGAGTTGGACGAGCATTTGGAAGAACCAAGGTCTGACCAACACCCCAAGCCTTCCAGTTTCAACCGGTTTGAACCACTGTGGTCGTGGAGTCTACAGGTTGACGGTCTTGCGGCATGGGAATCTTTGCAGGCAATTGTTCTCAGTTGAGCGAAGCGCTGGATGTTTCCGCCACACAAGCCTGTGACACGTGTCCGGAAGGGTTGTGTCCGGCTGTGCCATTGGGGAATTAGGGGAAGGCTGGGTGTAAGCTGCTTTTCGTTCTTAACTGTCCCAATCGCTTTGCATGTGGCCACTTTCTTTGTGTGAGTGTCACTTGTATCGTGTTCATTTCAGAGTTCGAACGCGGATGCGTTTTCACCCGGCGGTGGGTGTCCCCTGAGGTGCTGCGGCATGGCTTCCATGCGGCAGGTTTGGGTTCCAAGAGTTTCTCTCAGGGCGCGTCACCCGGCGGAAGGGGCCAGTTGGGGTGGATGAGTGGATGGAGTGACGGTGGATGAGCGGATGGTTCGATTCGTGGTGAGAAAGCTAGCAAGAAGGCTTGGCAGTTATATAAAGTATTTGTGCAGACTTTCTGAAGTTTGTGTTGGAACCTGGGCCACCCAAATTACGAAAGGAGGGGTAACAAAAGAGATGGAAGGATGTGTTGATCACTTTGCCTCTAGAGTGCTTCTCACCTTGAAGCCATACCCATGTAGTTTCTTTCATGGAGGGGTCATGTTCGTCGCCTTGGTAATTATGGTTCAGTTACTATGGCGGACCAACAGTTAGAATATGAAACCATTGATTTTTCCTTAGGTACCTAAGGACATCTTCGAGTAGTAGAGTTTTCTAGCCTAAAGGATTTTGACATGGAGTTAGAATATGGAACATGCAGTTCGAATATGGTGCAATGATGTCGGAAAGCATTTAAAAGTGATTGGCGCTGCACCATCAAGCTCCAGACTTCGGCGAAGCGATGCTCACATTTGTTAACATATAGATATTCTATTTGCACCAAAACACCAGAGGTGTTATGAGAATTATTGTTTTAGCAAAAGGTGGCTTGAAGGTCATACAGCTGAATCGTGCGATCGAATTCACTATCACAAAAACATTATCTGATGTTGTTTATACAATAATAATATTCATCATCATTGATTTTCTGTTATCTCCATATTCTAACTGCAGGAAAGTCCCACAGGTGTTGCAAGAATATGGTATTTATGACTTGAAACGAGCAGCCTATGACTTGAAAGTTATGCAGTAGGCAGCGTCAGTTTCTTGACTAGATATCAGACGCCATATTCAAACTGCATTGGCAACCATGTGTTTCTTTATAATTGTGAAAAGCGATTGGTTCAACATATTTGACTTACTGTGAGATAAGAACATATTGCAGAATAGAATATAAAACTGTACTGTAACTACCATGAATAGCATCAAAGAATCCATGTGGTTTGAACCAGAGGTTCATTACTCAGTTCGGGATGTAGCACAAGAGCGGAAAAAGACTGAAGTACCATTGGAAGCACCACCGCTGCAAGAGCTCCAGCTTGCCGTACTGCATACCGTAGCATATTTGGGGGATGAAACAATAGCAAGCAGCATGACCGAAGCGTGCGGCAATTGGTGGATTCTTGTTGTTTCATGCATTTACTGTACATGTCATATATTTATATATATCCTCCATATTCTAATTGTCACCCTGGAATGTCCATATTCTATTTGCTTTTTGGGGCCTTAGGGTCTTAGGGTAAAACTATATTCTAACTGTACCCTAGCATTTTAAGACTCTCTATCTGTCTGTCCATCACTGTAAGCTACTTTTTCTCTGCATGACAAAGGGGGAAGGACACATTTTTGAGCACATACATAGCCTATTTTGCGGCCAAGGAAGAGTCCACGAATAACTGTCACTATTCTAACAAAGGACCCCTTGCGAGCCGTTCGCTGCATTCCACGAAGAAAACACACATGAAGCAAGTTCCGACTGCTTCCCAAGCATTGGAATGGTCAGTGGGGGCGAGGACAACAGTGCACCCGTTCCATGGACCCGTGGGCCCGAGGATCGTCCGGCACCCGTTCGGACCCATTGGACCGAGGTATTTGGATATTCTGGACATCGTGGCTCGATGCAGCGAGGTCGTCGTGAGGTCGTACGATGTACTGTCCAACGATGCAGCGGACGTGAGGTTTGTTGGGTCGTTTTGGAAGGATGTTCTGCCACTCTAGTGAAGAAAGAAACAGAGTGTCGTGAAGGGGGTCTGGTCTTCTGGTCCGTTTCTTGGAGTGATTGAAAAAGAATCAACCACCAGGTGTTTTCAACCGTGGAATCCATAAGTCTCAAGGATTCCTGACAGACACTATTCGACTCCCGACACTGGGACCTGCTTCAGAAGTCTGGCCCCGGTGAGAGAAACCCGCGAGGTGATCTTCAGCGAGAATCTCAATGAGGGTCAGATCCGATATCCCATCTACGGCTTTGACAATGGTGGAAAGCCGTGCTTGAAAAGCTGCAGCCTGTACCCTGGACCGCCCCAAAAAGCGTTGCGAGGGTCGGATGGTTTTCTCGGGTTCGGGGTGAGGGACCACACTGGGGGTGAGGGACACAGAATGACGACGATTGGCAGATGCCTTGGCCTGTTCTTTGGTGAATCTCTAAATAGTATTTTTCTTCTTTTTATGTACTGTATTCGGGCCATCCCGACTGTTAGGTTTTCGAACGTTGTACACTCTCGCGTGCTTTGAAGAGTTATCCTGCTTGTATCAGAAAAACCTTTTCTCACTTCGGTGCAAGACTTCGCCACAGACCCGCCGAAGGGGACCGAAAGGTGGAGCACCCTTCGCCCCCCCCCGGTGGATCCTGCGGTGCGTAAGCCCTGCCCACTCGAATGCGAGGTACTATGCACTCTATGTGACCTTCGCTGTGGCCTACGTGACCGGATGGCCAGACTGGGATGGGGACGATGTTTCAAGGTTCTGGGCAATGTGGGGTTTCAATGGGTTTCATGTTAGTTTTCTGGTCAAAGGACAAAATGCGTCTGAGTGCCACGATCGTACAAGATTGGTGCTTTCAACAAACACTGGTACGTGTACTGTTCGCGTTCTTGCCTCAGCTTGACCACTTGTGTTTGGTAACGCAGTGTTCAAGCATTTATGCACGACGTTTTAATGGTGGGTGTAAGAAAGGTCGACTTTCGACTGGTTTGCTCGAGTGGTTTTGGGCTCCGGCCTCAAAGTGGGGTAGAAACTACAGCGCCTTTACTTTTAGCAGCTTTGTTTGTACTTTGTTGGTAGAAACTAAAGCCGCCCAACATAGTGGTCACTTGTTGCAAGTCCGGCACGTCAGGAAACTGGTTTTGACACAGTCTTTGATGAGTATGGATGAATGACGTCTCAGATTGACCAACTGACACTTCTAAGACTTACATGGATATATATCCTACGAGAATTGTCCTTCAGCACACTTTCAAAACTCCGAGCTCGCTGTGCATGCTATCCCAAGTTCCAGACATCAATTTTCCAGACGTTCCTGGCCTCTGTCACTTTCTTTACGTTTCCCGCTGAAGTTTCCTGAGTACCCTGACTCATACCTTCAAACTTTCAAACACTAGATCTGCGCGTTTCCAGCTAAAGTTTCTTGACTCGTTTTCCAACCAGGTTTCCCGACTCACTGCCCTTGTCCTTTGACTCAGATGTCTATTTTTCAATCTTTCCAGACCCTGCGTCCCTCCGGCCGGGAAAACCCGCGGCCGGCTAAGCGGCTGCTTGCGGGCTTCCAAGACTGTTGATCCCTTCCGAGACTGTCGTTGATCGGACAATTCCTGACCTTGCCCATTGAGTTTCCGATTCCTGGGCTTCCTGACCAGAATCTCCTCTGGTGTCCTGACTCTCTACGTTTCCTGAGCAGAGTCTCACGTGAGCAGACTTGTGTTGGTTTCCCAAGACTTCGCTTGAGCCTGGTTGGTCCTTTTTGCGGTGATTTCTTGGAAGGATCAACAAAATCCGTTTCTAGGGGGCTGCAGTTCTTGTCGCTGGGATGTGGCAGAAATTCATTGGAATAGTAACTACTGCTACTACCTGTCACTTGGTCGTGTAAAGGGGGTGAAAAAACAATCGCCGGACTGCTGTCGTAGCTTCTACCGTCGTAGAGACCAAGTAATATTCGGTGTGTGTTGGTGGGGCCTAAGATTCTGGTCTATGCTTTTGTTCTGCTGCTGGTGGTGGTGGTGGTGGTGGTCGTCGTCGTCGTCGTCGTCGTCAGTCAATCTAGCAAAGAATGTCCTTTGGAGATCTGAGGTTTCTGCTCTTCTTGCCCAATTCCTTCACACCCTCTGTGCACCTAAACCAGATGACGACGCCGATGATGATGATGGCAGAGGGTTTATACCGGTGGACTCGAACCAGAACGGCTGCTGGGTCCAATGCAGGGATGGAGATATTTCATTTGGACGCTTGAAGTTTCAATCAGTTTCTGGGGGCAACCGTTGGCAACCCACTCTGCTGATATGGTGATGAGGTTCTTTGTTGGTCCGAGCTGGCCGAGTTTTGCAAGTGTGAAGGCGACACCGGTGACACCTGCGAGCAAAAATCCTCTTGCACCTGCATGCCAGACTAAACCATTCCATTTTGTAAGGGTCACAACACAAGAAATATTCAGAAGCCCCATCTCCAATTAGAGAGGCCCCAGAAACCAAAAGCTTTCATGCCCGGACACGTTCTGCCAGTCTGATAGCTCTGATCCGGTGGGATGAGATGTTCACCGACCGAGCTGGTTGCTTCACTGACCGATCCTTTCGAGTTCGGTGTATTTTTGACTTCGTTGGAGTCAGGCCAGCTGGGCCAAGCTAGAGACGTTCCCCAACTCTGCCAGTGAAACTCCGCAGAACTGGATCGAAGATCGCAGCACAAGACGAGGTTCTGAGAAGAGCCAGGTCATGGAGGGCCAGCTGGTACTTGTGTTTTGGACCAAAGATGCGGATCAAATCACAGCATTGGCCCACCGGACTCCAGGGTTTCTTCGTGCCAATTGAAGCCTGTTTGACTGCCCCAAGAATCGCCCAAAGCAACACTAGCACTGCTTCTGGAGGTTTTGTGTGTTCAACTTTCGTGTTGTCATTGGGGTGCCAAGCCTGCCAATGACCAGATTTTTTCCTCTGAATTCGCATTCTCACCGATCGACACCAGTCAGGTCGTCCAGGTGGATTGGAGATGGGAACTATCAGCTCAATCCTGGGCACCAACCCAAGTGGCTATGGCACCCAGGCTCCCAAATGAAATAAATGGAACATAATGGAACGATCCACGTAGTATATCGGGATCCGCCCCCTTGCTTGTGACCAGGTACAGCAAGGTCTGGAAGGAATGTAAAGGGAAAGCATGAACGTCTCTAAATCTATAAGGTGTTCACTCACATTCTTCAGACATGAAGAATGTCGCTCGGCAAAACTGCCCAGATCTGTGTCACTGAAGCGGAAGATCCCCACGTTGCACCCGCGGGCTCAACGGCTCACGTTGAGGCAGCTAGACTTAGAGACGCCCAAGTTTCTGAGACCTGCCGGGACCCTCCGCAACTTGCCCAGAGCTTTTACTCCACTGAAGGTCAATGAGGACGATGAACAGGATGAGTCCTACTTCGACTGCAGCCCTAGTGCACTGGGTCTCGGGACTCGCGCCGGCCGTGCGGTGCGCACACGGCCTGGGATGTACAAGGTGCTTTGGCAAGAGCGAGGGATAGGAGCGGTCAGGATCAGGAACTTAACAGGGAGCCCAGCAAAGGCCACAGAAGGGGAACAGCATTAGGAACCAAACAAGGCCAAAAAAGGTCCACCTCCAGGATCTTTTTCAGTGGTTGCTAGTCGGCATTTCTTTGACTATGAAGATGGGCGGTGGAAAGAGGAACCTTGGATAGCAATCACTACATATTGTCATTTTTTGTAGAGGTCTCCAGTCGGCCGGAAGAAGGTCTCCAGCGAGGAGATAACCGGTACGATCTTCACCCACTGAATATACCAACAAAGTCCCTTCATGGCTCACTACTAGGAGCAAGGACGCTACTAGGGGCTCCTGGCCTTACTACTAGGAGCAAGGACGCTACTAGGGGCTCCTGGCCTTACTACTAGGAGCAAGGACGCTACTAGGGGCTCCTAGCTTCATGGGTGACCTTCACGCTTCCCCGGAACACCTGGTGCCACCCAGTTCGACCCGGCGACCCTCTTGGGCGCCACCCAGGTGACCTTCGTCGATGGTCGCCAGCCGCAAGAAAAGGAGGTCCCGTTGCGCTCGATCCAACCGGCCACCGACGCCCGCTTTCACCGAATTGTGACGCTTTCCGGCAAGAGGAGGATGGCGGCCCTGTGAGTTTTATTTTTTAGTTCTTGCGTGGTGTGCCGTTTTGATTGGTCACTGGGCCAACGGGAATCAACGGAATATGACTATGATCTTATTTTTGGCGGTTGGTTTGTTCCGTGATTTGTTTGGGAAGGTGTGTGTGTGTGTGTGCCACAGCAAGCTGCGTAAAGGAAGAACTCTTCAACTGGTCTTGATCCAAGTCTCTTCAGCTGGTGGGCCCTGCTCGGCTTCTTTCTAGTCGTGGACTCGCTGCCTTTTCAAAAAAGCACAAGTTACTGACCTGACATCTTCACTGAAATGGGTGTTCCCCTTTGAGATAGCTAGGGTAGACCCTATGCGGGCGCTCTAGGGGGGTAGGCTAGGGTAGGCATAGGCATAGGCCTATCCTAGGCCTATGCCATGCCGCCTTTGACCCCCTTTCAGGGGTTGGTGAACGTGACTGTGGTCCAGATAACTCAGAAAGGGTCCCACTTTGGGTAGCGGTAGGGGAATCAAGGCAGGCATCGCACATGCATGACAAGCTTTACATCAAGTAGCTACGAGTACTGTCCTGATGGTTTCGACTGGCAGTAAACATTCTGTCCTTGGAAAAGAAATAACCGCCAAATCCGAGGCCACCCTGTCCTCTTTCCTTCACAGTGATTTATTGATAGCTCTACAAGTGAATCTTTTCTCTTCCACGACATGATTCGGGCTTCAACTACCAGAAGTAAGGCCATCAACAGAGTCATATCATATCTATATTGTGATATTGTACTCTACGTCTCAACAAGGTCCCGTCTGCAAATTAAGTTCTGGTGTGGACGTGTGGACGTGGGGAGACATCAATTGGTTGGTCCATACAGATTCCACGGTACGGTGGACCGAATCTGTATGTGATGCCCACTGGTCTCATCCCGTGGAAGCAAGCAATCCCCCAAAGGGCCAAACCAACTGCCATTCCGGTGCTCCCCAAAAAACACCTTTTTCAACCGTCTGGCACCATGGAATCACCCGTGGATCCCGTGCATGCATCCTCCAGGAAGATGGGCGAAGAACTGATTCATACTCATGTCACAGAAGCCCAAGAAGGCATCGGCTGGAGAAGTTGGGAAGGTGCTATTGAAAGCTGGGAAGGTGAAAGCAGACTTTCTGTGGCTTGAAAGATTAGCGTTTGGGTGGTTTGGGCTCTACTCTACCTCTGAAGCATCAGATCAGGTGGGTATAGTGGGGGCTTGAACATGAACGAGTTCCGTGCAGGCAAACGGTTTCACGGGATACAGGGGTTCTCTGGGAAATGTCAACAAACAACGAATATCTACGTTCCACAAAAACTATGCACACATGAAACCGAAAGATGAAGGCAGGCTTGAATGACATGGGCAACAATGGTTGCAAAAAAAGAATGCGTTGTACGTCATTTAGCAATGATTTTTTTCACCCAGTTCAGGGAACTAATTCGGCACACTCGGCAGTGCAACGGCATCTAGCTCAATCTAGATCACGATTTGATTTGTATGTGTTGACCATCCGAAGGTTGCGTACTTGACCACAGTGGTGCAAATGCGGTTGCACGCCAAAGGTATCACATTGCAGTCGCATTTGAGGGAAAACAAATGACTTCTCTTTCGGAAGCAGTGAGGCATGATCATTCTATTGTTGGCTATTGATGTTGGTCTTCTCAGTTTGCCGGTAATCTCCAAACTCGAGAGACGTTTTCAACCGAGAGTCGCAGGTCGTGACTTCCCGAGAGAGATGTGTTGCGTTTGCCCCTTTTGACTTAACTAAGAAAGCAAATCAGGATTTCTGGCCAAGTCAACGGTGTGTCAGCAGGAGCTACAGGTAGATGGACAAAAGACAAAGTATTCAATTCCATCAGAAGCAAAAATCAGCAAGTGTCCTTCATCAGGCACCTCATGGCGGTTTCTGCAGAGTGACCTCTCACAACTCCCCTGCCAGTTCCGTATCAACTGCCCGTTTGTTCTCTGATGTGTCTTCTTCCGAAGCCTTGGCCAGCAAACTTTTGTTTGAGAAAGCTATCTTGCAAGGGTTCCATCTACGGCATTGACCTACGTGGTAAAGATTAAGGACAAGAATGCTATCAAGAAGTTGCACATCATGCCTTTGACTACAGCAGCCCTACGTCTCTGACCACAGCCCAATGTTCTTGGTGCTTTGTCGTACGCAGCACTGGCAACAACACTTACAAGAATCATCAAAGGGATGCAAGCCAATTTGCAGACGGATGGTCATTAGTATCTTGATGCAAATTGAAAGTGGGTCGAGAGCATATTCAAGAAAGAACTAGAGCTTGGAGGCAAAACATGCCGACACTATCCCGACACTTATCCAGTCACTTGGGCCCAACGGGGGGGATTCCCAGCGCCGCGCCGAACCGACGCGGCGTCCGGCAGATCCGCAGGTTGCAGAGGTTGGCTCGACCTGAAGCAGCTCCAGAAAGGCAATCGATGTCACTTGACGATGTGCGGATAGATTGTCCATGCAGGTCTGGGTTCCCGCACGGAAATAGTCGAAATTCTTTTGTTGTCACCTCATGCTTGAGATTTCTAGCACCCACCATTGCATACCACTGCCACTTGCGTATGTCTACGAACCCCTTTCAGAGGAGACCTGCTTCTTTCAGGTCCTGGAATGTTGAGCAATCAGTTCCTGTTGTTCAACCGCTCCCTTCCATCCACCTGAAGCACGCAAAACTTTCCACCCACCATGCGCCACGCTCGACCGTGCGCCACGCGAAACGCACGCGAAACGCTTCGACCGAGGTGAACGCTTCGAACGAAAGGCTTCGGTGCTGGATGCATTCCGCTCGATGATCACGCTACAGTTGCCCTTTTTGATCTGGCGCTTGTGGTTTGACAAATTCAGCGACCAGACTGAGAAAAGCTGGAAAAGCAAACAAAGCACTTTCTGACTGTTAGTAACGGAAGGGCCCAGAAGTTCCAGATATATAGATCCTTAATCACCACTGAGTCGGTTGGGCCAAAATACAGCCCGGACAGATTCAGGCACACTGGAATCCGCTGCTTGTGTTTTGTGCAAAAAATCCAAAGGATGGTTGAAACCCATGTACACTGATCGAATGAGCTCTTCCCGAACATCTTCTTTTCAGGCCAACCGTCGGCACCCACAGGGCAGGCCCGACGGTTTTTGAGCTCCCCGTTTCGCCTTCCAAGGTGTGGACGTGGTGGAGTTTGCCGGGCGCACCATGTTCATCGCCAAGCTGCTCGGAACGCACCGAGTCCTTTCCAGGTCCGAGACCGGTGTACGAGCGAGCGGGTGAGTTGAACGAAAAGCAAGGTGATACAAAAGGTCCGCATTACCCATGAATATCAAAAGGGTTGGTTCTTTGATTGGAGGCTTTTCATGGTGCCCATTCTACAGTCACTTGTTGAATCTAAACCCCAGCGATCTTATTCTTAGGTATTTGACTGGACACTGGATGTGGTTGAAGAAGAAAAGATGGGGTGCTTCCGTGATTTGTCGAACGGACCCGATGCTCCTCTACGGGTCCGGTGCTCCTCTGGGGCGCTTCAGAGGGGGGAAGTTCGCTCATTTTGGGTGGAATGATCACGAGTGGGTTGAATGAACATAAGTCAACTCCCTGGGGATTGATGAAGGGATCTGATCTTTGAAGCATGAACTGTGTAGGGCTAGGGGTGGGTGTGTGGGAGAGCCAGTTTTTTGTTGGTTCGATCTTTCATGGGAAAGAGCAGACACGGGTGATCTTCCCAAAGTGTGACTGTAGTATCTATACGTTATTAATATAGAGTATCTCGTAGGGGCGGGGATGGCTTGAGGTGAACGTACATAAATTGAAGTGGGATGAAGTGGGCCTTTGTTGTCCTTGCAGATCCCAGCCAAGAACGCCTGAAACAGGTCTTCAGGGTGGCGTTTGTCATTTGTGTTGCAGGCAAATGATCACCACTGGTAGAGAGGATGTCGCGCCAACATCAGCTTTGACTTCAGACAAGAAACTGTGAATAGCATGGGAAATCCACGCAACCAGTTTCCGCGAAATGACCGTACCATCGGAACTCTGACAGGAACGCCATCTGGGCTCTTCTCGATTTGTTGACGATCCTGACCTGCGGCCACTCAGTCGAGCGAACCCGACACGATGTGCTGTGACACGAGGTGTCCTTTTTGCGACATCGGCAGATGTTCATCCACAAGTCCTTTCAGAGAGCATCATCGTGGTTGGTGTTCGGAAAACCTCCAAACACTCTGGGCTTGGTGAAGAGTCGACTCTATAATTCATACTAGTGCTGTATACCAGCAACCTTCAAGAATTCACTATTTGCAGCATCTACCTATATATTATATTATATTATATATTGTGAAAGTCAAGAGAATCCAAGCTTGATGGTTGGCTGTGCACTTGTTTCCATGGCCGCTCAGCCGGCCCGAAGACCGAAGGCCCCAGAGGCCCAGCGTGCATCCGGCCCGCCAAAGGACGAAGCATGACAGACAACGCAAAGCAGAACATGTTCGAGCAACACACAACATGGTTCGCAAGGCCATAGGAAGACATGTTTCACGACATATACCTTTTTCGTGTTCGCATTTGAAGAAAAGGCTGCGTCGCTGCGCTCACTAGCTTTCAGACTGGTGGCGCGGAGCCTAGCAATGGCTGATGGGGGCGGCAAACCCTTTTGGAAAGACGATGAGATCGTCTGCGACAAAGATGGAGTGCCCCACTACACCGGCAGGTATCCCAGCCTCATGAAGGAGTATCGCCGTCGAGCCCTTTTCTGTTTCAACAACCTGGAAGGAGACGGCAAGGACGCAACAGAAGAGGCCAGGGATTTGGAAAAGAAGAAAGCCCGTTTTGCAAAGAAGCTCCTGGACGCCCTGCACGGCGAAGCTTGGCGAGCCTGTCAGGATCTTCTGACCAAGGCTGATGAGCTCAAGAAGCCAAATGGATACAAGTTGATCTTCGAATGCCTCCAGACCATCGAGAAAGCACCGATCATCCGGAAGACGGAAGCCTTTGACCAGTACTTTGAGAACTGCTTTAGGCGCAAAGGCCAATCGGTGGATGACTACCTCCGGAGGCGGAAGCAAGATTGGGAAGATCTTTGTGATCTGAGTGACAACACCTCAATGAGCGAGGACCTTCGCTCATACTTTTTGCTGAAGAACATCAACCTGGGCCGTGATGACAGGAGATCCATCCTCCTTGCAAACCAGTCGGATTACACCATCGCTGGAATCGAGAAGGCGCTTCGTGTCAGCTACTATGATGTCCATGAGAAGGAGAAGAAACAAAGCTGGCAGCCGAAGCAAGACAAGCCACACCGGCGTGATGGTGGGTTCCGCAAGCGCGGATGGGCTCATTTGGCTGAAGAGGTTGATGATGAGACCGCCGAGTTCGAGACTCAAGAATATGCCAACTACGACCTCGACGAGAATGACATGGAGCAAGAAGGCGATGAAGAGGCCTATCAAGTCGAGGAGGCCTATGAAGTTGAACAGCACTCGGATGAAGGGGCATCACAAGACGAAGATGTCTACAATGCCTATGCAGCCTTCGACAAGATGAGAAAAGGCTACAAGGAGAGCCGTGCCAAGTTGAAGGAGTTGCAGAAGAATCGAGGCTTCTTCCGAGCAGATCTTCGTGGAGAGCTCACCTATGAGGAAAGGAAGCAAGCGATCGACAAGGAGAAGCAACGGACAAGATGCGGTACCTGCGGCCACGTCGGCCATTGGTCGGGGGATCCTCAATGCCCTCGAGCATCCAAGTCCGGTCCCAAGAAGATTCAGTCAGGTGCAAGTGGAAGCAACAAGAAAGGCAAGGGCAAGGGCAAGTCCCGTGGCAAGGCCTATTTGGTCGGAGATGAACCTTTGTTGTTTTCGCTGGATGATGATGATGGAGAAGAGACGCATGCAGCCTACATGATTGGCCCTGGGGAGAAGGAGGAAGATCAGATGCAGCAAGATGCCGGGCTCAATGACTTTGATGAGCGTCGCAAGACATCGGCCAGTCAGGCCGTGAGCCCACGATCTTCTTCGACTTGGGAGCGTGTTGCACCGAATGACATCCCCACAGCTTATGCCGGCACCACTACGATCGCTGGCCCATGGCTTGGTTCAGGTTCACAGCAGGTAGCAGAGATCACATCACAAGTTGATTGGATGGTCCCGGTTGCTTCAGAGAAGATGTCCCTGCTGTATGTCAACAGCTTTCAGGAGGTGATGCCAGACACGCCAATCATGGAGATGAAGGCCCGTGAGCTGCAAGCAGAATGTGAGCATTGGAACCTCCAGACATCCGGCACCAAGGCACAGATGCAAGATCGTTTGAACAGCTTCTTCCGAGGAGATGCCGTTTTGAAGAAGGGCAGCTCAAGTCGCTATGTGAGGTTGGTCACCGAGGCCCCAAGGCCGAAGTCCGTGGTACAGCCAGCTTCACCCAAGAGGATGCCAATGTCAGCCAGTTCGGCACCCAACTCACCGGCACCAAGTTCCAGCGTTCCCCATGGCAGTCCGGCATCAGTTCGAGTCACCACGGCAGTCCGACTGCACGGAGGAGGCCTGGAGGAGGAACCGCAGAGCCAAGGACTGATTCTCCCAAAGTCCAAGTCGCCGATCTATGTCGATGCCACTGCCGCTACAACTTCGACTACATCCATTGCCCCAGGACATCAGGGGTACACTGTTGGCGGGACTTTTCGTCAAGATCCTCGCTCAGGTATTCCAATCCCTACGGGCATGGCAGTGGGAAAGGCGACCATGGAGGTCACGTGTCCGATCTGCGAAAGCGCTATGGTTCTTCGTGCGAACCGAGTTGATGGTGGTCTTTTCTTTGGTTGCAGCCGTTTTGGAAAGCAAGAATGCACTGGCACTCGACGATTTGATGAGGTGGTGCGGCCGGCATCACAGTATGGCCACCGGGCATAGCCCGGCAAGTGCATTCGGTGGCAGCAACAATGTATCACCGCCATTCCTGGCAAGCGCTTTCATGAACCGGGATGGTGAGCATGAGCCGAATTCGATCCTTGAGCCCAATGCCAAAGACTTCGAAGCGAACACGATGAATTCACTGCATGATGAAGGTGGGCATGACTATGATGATGGTCCACAAGATGAGTCACGACTTTGTTTGCTGGATTCCGCATGCACGGCCTGCATGCACAGCCGGAGGTGGAGACAAGCCTATGAGCGAACACTTCCTGCAGGCCTCAGCTGCCAGAAGACAGATCAAACCAAGGTGTTCCACTTCGCCAACGGAGCATCTACCGAGGACAGAGTTGCTGTTTGGGAGATTCCCATTTTTCTTGGAGGTCGTAGAGGACAGGTATACAGTGCTGAACTTCCAGAAGGTTCTACACCGCTGTTGCTTTCCATTCCTGCCATGACAGCATTGGACATGACCCTCCAGATGAAGCAACGCAAAGTTCTTGTTCAGTCGCTCAACATTGAACTTCCCATGTTTGTCACAAAGACAAAGCACCTCGCAGTTGAAGTGGCGTACAAAGAAGGTTCAACAATTCCCGAGCTTTCGATGGAAGCAGCCCCTTCTGTGATGTCTGACAAACGTGACCTTATGGTTTACTACAGTGAGGAAGCAGAGTTTCCTTTGTTGAGCGAGATGGCCGATGTTGAGGTCTCCATGTTCTCCCGCAGCAAGGACAAGCAGCAACCAACTCTTGGAGCGCGTGGCGTCTTGAACAATGATGCAAGAGGCCAGCTGTCTGAGAGAAGAGCGAAGGAGTTGCAGGCAAAAGCTCAGAAAGCACAAGCAGTTGATTCTCGCACCTGGGCAGCTTTGAAAAGACAGTACAGTCTTGCAGAGCAATGGGCGACCAAATCTTTTTCCACCACAGTGCTCTTCGAACCTTTTGGAGGGAATTTTGGAGTCACAAGAGTAGCATCCCATGTTCACGGATGGACGAACAGCCAACCGCTGGATCTCATGGATGGCTATGACATCATTTCCCCTGGAGGCCAACGGCTGTTGTGGAAAGTTTTGGAAGAACATGATCCCTACATGGTTCTCATCGCCTTCCCATGTACTTTCTGGAGCTTGTTGTGCAACCTCAGCCAAAGTGTTGACTGGGGAAAATTGAGGAGAACATTGGGTCGAGCAACATTGCTTTTGGTCGTACGCATTTGTGTTTTTCAGCACCGCAGAGGACGTTTCTTTTTGCTAGAGAACCCAGCCGGGTCTATGGCGTGGGTATTTGAGAAGATCATTGCAAAATTGTTTGTTCTTACAGATGCTGTTTACACCACAGGCGATCAATGCAGATACGGCAAAGTTGATCTGGAAAGTTCGAGGCCCATCAAGAAACCAACGGGATGGCTCAGCAACAACCAGTTTGTTCTCAATCAACTGGGTCGCAAGTGCACATGTCGTTGGGGTTCACACCAGCAAGTTTTGGGGAGCAACCAATTTGGTTCCAGAGCTCTTCAAGCAGCAGCATACCCTGAAGGCCTTAGCCGGGCGATTTGTTCCGGCATTCTCATGAGCATGAAGTTTGAGTACAGCCTCGCCATGTCCTACAAAGCAGGTTCACACAGCTTTGTCTCCTTTGAACTTGCCTTTCCAGCTCGTGATGAGGTGGATGTTGATATGGAGGAGGCAGATCGGGAGGAGGTCACCAGGGAAGATGCGCAGCATGACAAGTGGACGGTCATTCAACCAGATCGTCTCATCCGAGAGCATTTTGTTCCAAGGTTGAGACTTTTCATGCCGGCAGCTTTGACAGAGCCACCCATTCCGATTCACCGGATCTTGCCCGGAAGACGAACTGTTGCCAAGTATTTGAACCACAACAGTGAAGTTGTTGACAATGAGATTTATGATGATGAATGGGCAACAGGTGGTGTGAGATCTATGTATCGTACATGGGTGGGCCACACACAGTTTCGTTTCCAGCCAGAGGAGCTTCAAGAGCGTTTTCAGCCTGTTGCAATGAACCAACCTTCACAACCGGAGCTTGTTGATTTTTCTCCTTTGACGCCGGCACCGGCGACACCTGCACCGGGTACACCAGGTATTCTGCAGAGGAGAAGGGCACGTACACGACAGCTGCAACGTGGCTTCTGGACTGAGATTGAGAGTCCGGATGTGGTTGATCTTTTGGAAAGAACTTCAGAGCACATACTGGAGCAGGGAGCTGGCGATTGGACACTTTTGGATCCCAACAGTGATCTTTTTACAGAGTGGCAATCCCATGAGTCAGCAAACGCAGATGTTGTTTTAGCTCTCTGTTCACACCGTGCCAAGAGGATGAAGAAACCTCAACCACATGCAGGTCCAGCAGATGTTCCAGTGCGTCGCTCATACCTTTTGTTGGCAGGTGGAGAAGACGGCAAGCAAGGTCTGAGCACAGACTGGGAGGATTGGGCACAGATGGCACCCTCGTCACAACAGCGTCCACTTGTTGGTACACACCGTGTTTTCTACATGGTTTTGTATGGCAAGCCTGCAGGTGAAGCTGATGATCAGAGAGGTGACAAGTTTTTGCAACAAGAGCTGGAGCGAGAACGGAAGTGGCAAGTTTTGCCGCGAGAACTGAAGCTAGCATTGAGACGTGTTCACATCAATTTGGGCCATGCAAGTCCCCAAGCTATGATGAAGGCATTGCGCATTTCACGTGCATCAGCAATGGCTCTGAAAGCGTGCAGGTTGTTTCGATGTGCAGATTGTCCACGCCTAAAGGTGCCAAAGCTCCCACGACCTAGCAAGCTACCTGTTGCAGATGAGTTCAACACACACGTTGGAGTTGACATTATTTCTGAAAAGGATAGCACTGGTCAGAGTTGGCAATGGCTCAACATCCTCTGTCAAGGTACAAGTTTTCAGGTTTGCATCCTCCTCGGCGATACCAACATGAATCCTACAGGGAAGGCAGTTCTTGCAGCTTTCCACCAAGGCTGGACGTCTTGGGCAGGTTTTCCGGAAGTTGGAGTGATAGCCGACAGAGCAAAATACTTTTTGTCTAGCTTCGCTGAGGACATGGCCGACCATGGGTGCAGATTTGATACAGCAGCAAAAGCATCACCTTGGCAGATAGGGATGATTGAGCGGCATGGTGGTCTGTGGAAAGAAACTTTCAGACGCACAGCCTGGAGTCAACAAGTTGCTGGAAAGGATGAGGTTTTAGCAACAACTTCAGCAACCAATGCCGCTAAGAACAGTCTTTGCAGAAAAGGAGGTTTCAGCCCAAACCAATGGGTGCTGGGGAAGGACATCAGACTTCCCGCTTCGCTCGTCGATGATGATGAGGTCAACAGGATTGGTTCTCTTGCTTTAGCAAGCACTCCTGGCACCAAGTTCCATCGCAAGCATCAACCTCGCATGGCCGCGAGGCAAGCTTGTACAGCAGCTGCAAACTCAGAAGCCCTGAGGAGAGCCGAACTTCGACAGGTTCGACCGCACCGCGGACCCTGGCTTCCAGGCATGTACTGTTTTTACTATGATGGTGCAAACAAAGATCCTGGTCCTAGCAATTGGAGAGGTGTGGCTCGTGTCATTGGTTCAGAGGGCAGTCATACAATTTGGATTTCACACAGAGGCTTGTTGTTGGCCGTGAGTCCTGAACACTTAGCCCGAGCTTTTGACCAAGAGGTTCGACAATGGGCAATCGTTGATCAGGAACGTGAGTTGATTGACGCAATGCCAGCAGCTGGTGGAACAGGGTTCATTGACCTTCGGAAAACTCCATTACCACCTGCACTCACCGAAGGCGCAATAGCAGATGTGCCAGGAAGTCAGCAGGAGGATGACGATATGGGCATTCCGATTGAAGGTCTTGAGCAGCCGCCACAAAGAGTTGAAGAACCTTCCAGTGAGGAGCAAGCAGCACCTGCGCCAGTGGATAATGTTTCTTCGGAAGACCTCAGTGCAAGCTCTACATCCATGGCCCGGATGAAGCTGGAATCTGACAGAGATCAGAGAAGAATGTTGAAGAGCAGCGAGTTCTTCGACAAACGAGCTCGTGAGAGAAGGGAAGCTCGTGAAAGACGACAATCCGATTTCGAAGAAGCTGAACGACTTCGTGAACAGCAGAGACAAGCAGAGGCAACACCTATAGAAGAAGATGTTTTTGATGAGGAACTTCACGACTACCACCAGAGTCGACCGACCCGACAGTTGACACCAGTCGTGGAGGACCCAGCTGCAGAGGCGAATGAAAGAGAAGCTAAACGCTTGAGAGTGTCTGAGGATAGTCCTGAGACCGCCAATTTCGTCGATGCAGCAGACAAAATTCCTTTTGCTTTCATGGCCACCGAACAAGAAGGTTTTCTTGAGGAGACGGCATATGCCTACTACATGGACAGGCAGCTGGCCTATGAAGGCCTTGGTGTTAGTTTGGACACTTTCATTTTTGGCATGCGGCGCAACGACTTCTACGAGCGCTACAAGTCCATGCAGGAGCACGCCATGCAAGGCACAGCTCTGAGTGCCCCAGACACCAAGAAGAAAGGAAGAAAAGAAGTGAAACTTCATGAGTTGAAGCCGGAGCTTCGTCGAGAGTTCACCAAAGAAGGAGGCTCAGATCAACGAGAGTGGGATGCTTGGAAATCCAAAGAAGCCTGCGATGTTTTGAGCCCAGACGAGAGTCGCAAGATTCAGCAAAACAGCCCAGAGCTCATCATTTCTACAAGATGGGTTCGCACAAACAAGAATGATGGTTTGCAAAACAAAGAGTTTTTGGCAAAGAGCAGACTTGTTGTACAAGGGTTCAAAGACCGGTCCCTTGGACATTTCAGGCGGGATGCACCAACAGCTTCAGCAATTGCAGAGTCGATTGTTTTGGCAATTTGTGCCTACCTCGGCCTGACCTTGTTTGCCAAAGACATCAAGAACGCCTATTTTTCTGGACGCAGTTTGGGAAGAGAGGTTTATTTGTCCCAACCTCGTGGAGGCTTGCCCGGCCTTCAAGAAGGCCAACTCCTGAGAGCTCGAAAAGCCATTTACGGTTTTGCAGAAGCTGCACGAATGTTTTGGCTTGCTTTGAGGGAGTACCTCATTTCAGATGGCTGGCAGGAAAGTCGTTTGGAGCCCGCTTTGTTTTATTTGAGGCAAGGCAACAAGCTTCGTGGAATCCTGGTCAGTCACGTAGATGATCTTGAGGGAGGCATACAGCCTGATATGTTGGAGACAGCTTTCTCAAAGTCCTCACAAGCACTTGAATTTGCTACCAACCACTACAGAGACTTCATCTTCCGTGGCAGGGAGATTCACCAGACTCCAGAAGGACATGTTGATGTCAGCATGAAGAACTACGCTTTGAGCATGAAGCCGGTCCGCATCGAGAAGCACCGTCGGCAGCAGCTTGATTCAGAGCTGACAAAAGAAGAACTCGACCTCCTACAGAGTTCAGCTGGCGAGCTCGGGTGGATCACCCGGCAGTTGAGGTGCGACCTGGCCTTCGAGAACGGCGTGATTCAAAGATGCAAGACAGAAGCTTGCATAGCTGACCTTGTTCGCTTGAAGCAATATGTTGGACAAGCTCGACGAGGCGCCAACTTTAGACTTCGATACTGGAGCGATGTGAACTTGAGTGAAGCCGTGGTTGTGCATTTAGCCGATTCTGGTTTTGCAAATGGCAGCCCTGAGCACAACGACCTTCTTCGCTACCGCTCGGTGGGAGGCTACTTCATTCTCCTTGCCAACAAGGAGATACTTCAGGGACAACCTGCAAGATGCAACATGATTTGTTTTCAGAGCAGCCAAACCAAAAGAGTGTGTCGCAGCACGTTAGCAGCTGAAGCCAGTCACCTAGCAGAAGCGGTTGAAGCTGGAGATTGGGTAACAGTTGTTTTGGAGGAGGCTCTGACCGGAGATGTTGATCTCCGGAATTGGCAAAGTGTGATAGAAAGAAGGAAAAGGGTCTATGTGACCGATGCAAAGTCGGTTTACGACTATCTGCATAAGGACGCCACAAGCACCAGCACTGACAAGAGGATGGCAATAGAAGGTGCACTCCTAAGGGAGACCGTGAGAAAGCCCAAAGCAGAGGTCAGATGGATCGATGGAATGCAGAACATAGCAAATGTTTTGACCAAGCACAATGCCGAGAAGGACACCCTTCGAGAGTTTTTGAGGACAGGACAAATGTCGCTGACGCAGACAGAGGCCAACCAAAACTTGAAAGAAAAGAGACGCCAAGAGCGCCAGAGCAGAAGTGAAAAGAGAAGAAGTTTCAAAGAAACCAACAAAGAAGCTGATTTGAAACAGAAAAGGACCGCAAAGGCCGAAGCTATTCGACCTGGAGAGGCCGATACAAGTGAAGATGAACCACAGCCAAAAGAAAAACAATGAATGTGAAAGTCAAGAGAATCCAAGCTTGATGGTTGGCTGTGCACTTGTTTCCATGGCCGCTCAGCCGGCCCGAAGACCGAAGGCCCCAGAGGCCCAGCGTGCATCCGGCCCGCCAAAGGACGAAGCATGACAGACAACGCAAAGCAGAACATGTTCGAGCAACACACAACATGGTTCGCAAGGCCATAGGAAGACATGTTTCACGACATATACCTTTTTCGTGTTCGCATTTGAAGAAAAGGCTGCGTCGCTGCGCTCACTAGCTTTCAGATATATATATATATATACAACAACTCAAAATAAGCCATGAGTACAGACAGTATCTGTACCAGATTGGTTCCCCGGATGTGGGAAAGTGTCCGGTAATCTAACTACCCCTCGAACATGTCCTGCGAAGCCAGCGAAGCCAGAGGTTCGGAGAGCAGTTGTTTCGTGGGATTTCGTGAACGGTTAGTGTGGATTCCAAGAGTCGACCTTTGGCTAGGTGTAATTTCAATCCGTGGGCCATGGGCTTTCGGGGAAGGACGTCCATGCTGGTGCCATTTGGATGGTGACAGGCCATGTTGGTTGAATTTGGTTGCACTATTTGATGCACGAGATCAATGCACATGATGGCGACACTGACCTCGTAGACACCACGACCTGGCGGGCACCGCGGGGGCGGCTTCCGCCCGCGCAGCCCCCGTGCCGTCGGCCGAAGGCAACGACCAAGCGTCCATCAACGGGTGGCGTCCGATGAGCACGGCGCACTCGGCCTCCGAAAGCCAGTGCCACGGCGCATTCGGAGAGAGACGTCGGCGATCCCACCGGACTGAAGGGGGACAGGGGACGAGGGGTGAAGAGGTCCTTTTCGGTGGAGTGACAAGAAGGTGTTCCATTTCATGACATGGTCGCCTTGGCGCACCCGTTTTGGAGGGGTCATGGAGGGTGGCGCCGAGCCAGGGACTCCAGGCCTATAGCTTGGCACCACTGGCGACCTGAAGTCGTGGTCCTGTGGGGGATTGAACATCCGCCAAGGGGGTAATGATGGTAATGTTTCTTGCAGACATACCAGAAGCTTCCAGGGCGTAGGGATGTTGGTCACAGGTGCCTGCCATATACCCCACGTCTGAAGTTGTCTAGAATGACTTCAGGTCCTGGCGAGGAGTCGGGCGCAACCGGTTTGGCCCAACGGCCGCTGTCACATCCGGTCACAGCCGCTGTCACCGACCCAATCGCAGAATCGGGACAGCCACACGGATCCGAGAGATGGTTTCGAGATGGTCAGTGGACACGGGTTGATCAACCCACATCTGAATCCTCATCACAATACACTCAAATGTCTCTTTCCTCTCCTTAGAAGCAAGGGTTGAGGGAGTCATTTCTACATAATTGAGCAGAAACTCGGCCAATGCTCATCTTCACACAAAAAGGACATGCGCAACAGGATTTGGACTTTTTGGTCGACTGAAGGCTTGATTCAGCAGTGTGCCTGCACGACAAGGGTCAACAAAAACACCGGAAAATCGGCCATTTGCTCGACTCTTGCCCTTGGATTATCCGATTGCCGGAACACCTGGGATTTTGAAGGAACATCTGACATCCAAGAAGGACGCTACTAGGGGCTCCTGGCCTTACTACTAGGAGCAAGAAGCTACTAGGGGCTCGTGGCCTTGCAGCCAGGACTGGACCACAATGACCCTCCTTTTGCCGCCAGAGTGCAGTCGCGTTGACAAACCGAGGTTTGGAAAGGTTTGGGTCGGTCCCACTGGCATGTTCGCTTGGTTGGCCTCTATATTTGGTTCGATGCGCATGGATGATATCAAGTCCTGCCAGACTGTGTTGCTTGGGCGTCGAAGCAATCCGCGGGGGGCTTGAGCCCTGCCCTTTTTAGTGGCGCCTGCGGAAGAAGCACGGCATTCTTTTTGACGGAACAAAAAGGGGATTTGCCGACTTCGTCACTTCTTGGTGCCGACTCTCAAAACCAATCGTAGCTGAGTGGTCACTGGTGGTGCAAGTGTTTGGTCTACTCAGTGTCCAGATGCTCGCGGCTAACAGGTGGTGTCAATGATGGAGCCCAAAATCATCCTCACGTAACTCAAGCAGGTAAAGTTCCGAGCAAAACCTGTAGCGGTGCGTTGTTGTCATTCTAGCTAGGAGCGTTTTTACGCTTGTGTTGTCATACTATATAAGCACCATATAAGTACCCGAAAAGTGACCTTCCAAGAGGTGTCCAATGGGTGGCTCTGTATGGTGAGCCGCAAGCAAAACCAGAACCTTTGAGGACATCCGCTGTTGAGGTGTGACTGAAATTGGAAGGATTTGGACGACTGACCACTGGTATTTCATCCACTTCGCACCCACCCACTAGGGCAATATGAGGTGGTTCTGGAATGACCTGGAATGCAAGTTTTGGGACCCCTGTCCTGGCGGGAAGGGAGAGGAGTTTTTCCTCCAAACCCTGCGATCCAAGGCTCAAGAATCATCACGGGTGGCTTCTCAAGGAGCAAGCAGATGCCCCGAAAGGCCAGATTCTGCAGATCTCTGCAGTCACGTGATCTGGTCCCATGTCTAGGAGTGCCTCTCTTTTGAGTGTCTTCCTCACCAGGACCATATCCATCAAGGTCCACCCTCCCGTAAAAAAGTGGCCCGTGGAAATCGACACTCAGTCTAACCAACCAACACCGTATCAGAACCGATCCCTATTCAATGCAGACTTCTTTTTGGCGAGCCGTCCACCAGCCCTCGATTGGTGCAAGGTGAACGGGCCATCTACGATGAAAAGATTGAGGAGGCAGAACAGAAGATGGACCCTTCGTCATCAAGTTGTGCGTGGCGTCACTGTAGTGTGCAATTTGCATGGTGTCCACGCCACTGTCCGGTGTTTCGTTTTCTGTTGGTGGTTGTCCACAGACACTGCCCTTCAGAACAAGACACAAGGATCGTTGTCTGTGGTTGTTGGTAGACCCGTGAACAAAACAGCACAGTGTTTGCTACTTCTGTTGGAAGCAACTTCCCAAGAAGAAGCTACTAGGGGCTCCTGGCATCGCGACTAGGAGCAAGGACACTACTAGGGGCTCCTGGCCTTACTACTAGGAACAAGAAGCTACTAGGGGCTACCACCACCTTCACCGCCGACCCCCCCACCACCACCCAAAAATAGAGAGGACCACTACCCACCAAAACACGACGCAGTACCACCACCGCCGGGCCATGTGTGTATCTAGTACCAAAATTTCTGGACAGGGCCACAGTATTTATCCTTTTTCTTGTTGTCGTTGTCGTTGTCTTCATTGTCTGCATAGATGGAGGTGCGATAACTCCGACTTTGTGTTTGTTTTGCATTTCTATTGTGATTTTGACTACTTTTCTGCTGCCCACTTATGTAACTTTTCTAGTTTTTGTTTAGGTGTGTCTTTTGCTCGCTGATCGCTCCTGTTGCTTTTCAGCTTCCTAGCATTTTTGCTTATTGTTTATTCCTTGTTGCTTTTCCATTTAATTTGAGCCTCTTGCTTTTTTCCTGTCACTTTTTTGGTTGTTTGGTTCTGTTTTTGACGGTTCCTTTTTCATTTGCATCTTGCTACTTCGTGGGCTATTTCTGCATTTCTTTTCCTTTCCATTGTTGTTTGCATGTGCTTTCGCTTTTGGTTCTGTTCTTTATTCTTTTTTTTCTGGATCTCTTTTCTTTGGCCCCGCAGGCACAAAGAAGCAGAGAAGAGAGAAAGCAAGCAAGCTAGGTAACTGCGAAGCCCATGCAAGGAAGCAAAGAAGCTAGCAACACGAACCGAAGCAAACAAGGCAGCAAGCAAACAAAGAATAGATGTGCTCGATGAGTTCTTCATTTTTGCAGGGGGGCTACTGAACCTCGAACCCTCTTCAGTTTTCACCAAGTCAAACCAAGCCAAGCCAACTTGTCCAAGAATCTTGCAAGTACTCATACCAACAAGGGTCGACACCAGACTGCAGATTTGTTGGGTTATGAAAAAGGACCATCCAAGCAACTCGAACACCGACTATCCACAATATGCAATTGAAGATGGTTAAAGGGTCAGCTTGGTTCGGGTCGTGGCCGGGATTGTTACAGACATGCCCAGAGCGAGAGAGAGAGAGAGAGAGCGCGCAAATTACTAGTTGGGGTTCATGGATATTTCTTCAACCCTTTTTGGGGTGCAAACAAACATCTACGGATTTAGTGGCAGAGGTTCCAAATTGACGTCGTTTGCCGTCGTCTTGTTTGCGTCTTTCTTCCCAACCAGAACACCAAGGCCATTCAAGAAGAGAAGGCGCAGTACTCCTTTCCTTGACGGGAGCACCGAACACCTCTGAGCGAGCTGAGTGAGCTCCTCAGCTCCACTTGCGGCACAAAGTTGCCAGCAGAGCGGCCGAGGGGATTTTCTGCAACCAAAGTCTCTCCCGAAAGTCTCAGAAACCGCCGAGGGGGGCCGAGCGAGTGAGTGTTTTGATGTTCTTTCCGGTTCAGTGGGGCCAACAGAAGACCAGAGCTGGCGAAAGCCAACCGTTGTGAGGAACCTCTTTTTTTCCCCCCCACTGAAAACACTACGATATGTCTTACAACCGTTTGCGGATACATCGAGGCTTTGTTTCCATACTATATTGATGAGTTGCCAATCATCGCCATATTTGCTCCATGTCCGTAGTGTGGGGACTGATGCCGAATGCACAGTCAGGAGTTCATGTAGCTTTGTTTTCATGTCTACTCAACAAAGGGAACTCAGTTTCCATGTCTAGTAGGTTGGAGGCCATCTCAACAAAGGGAACTCAATTTATATACTTTTCAATTTGACGGTTTTACTGTAGCTGGTTTGATCTGTGTGTTTCGCGGTCTGGCTGCGCATTGGGTACTACCCGGTTGGTCACAATCATGAAATTGTGAAACACCTGTTTGGGTTTCCATTGTTTGTGAGACTTTTATTCCTTTGCAATGGCTCTCCGTGGTTTCAACTGCCAGCTGCCAGCAGTTCTGTTTGGGAGACTGTTCGTGTTGAAAGCAGAGTCGGTCCCTCCCCAGGCCAATCATCAAAAAAGAGACAAACGTCTGGCAGCCAATGGCCGGTGTCGGCTTTCGCGGAGGTGCGCGTTTGTAGGGGTGACCGGTGAGTCCCGATTGGGGGGAGTTGACTCGGGGTAGATGCTTTTTGGTCAGCGGACATCACAGGAACTCCAACTGATATCCAGGATGGCCATAGGTTCATAGGACTCCTAGATCAGTCTTGGAGTTGGGTCGAAACCATGGACCTCCAAAGTCCAGGACATGCCTCTGCAGACGGTCCTCATAAAGATTTCAGTTTCTTCATAAGGCAAAGCTCATGGATGTAAACATATTATGTAGACTCTCGAGTTGCAGACCAAACATGCCAAAAAGCCGAAAAACCGTCTCGAGAGATGAGAGGCAGTTTTCAAGCCCAGATGAGAGAACCTCACCTGCGTTCTCAAGGTGCGAGACGCCCCAAGTGGTCCAAGCGGAGCTGCGAACGCATTCCCCAAGAAGCTGTGTTGCGGGGCTAAATAAAGAGAACTGGGTTTGTGGTCCAATTGACCCACGGATGCCAGATGCCATTGCCATTTTTTGAGTCCCCTCAGTGTGAGAGAAAGGTGCAAGAAAAATTAGAATAGACGAAGCCAAGTGCCCATGTAACACACGCCCACCTTAGTTTGTAGACCGACATCGCGTGCTTTGCAAAGTCCCTAAGGAATGTGATTTGTTTCACTAAAGATCACTGCCAAACTCAAAATGAATTGAAAAGGACGCCTTTAGAGGAGACAAAGTCGCTGACCCCTGTTGAAAGAAGAAGTCCAATGAGTTGGATGTATGAGAGCCAACTGTTTGGCGTGATGGAAAAGCGCCAGGTGGTTCCATCAACAGTAGCGACCCTTCTTCAGACTGGGTGGGGCAGTTTTGACTCCATTGGCACAAAAAGGGCGAAACTCACCGTTCGGGTGAATCGGGCAACCCTGAAAGAGATGCTTCTAAAGGACCGATGGATTCAGATTCGAGGCTCGATATTAATTTTTTTCTGGGTCTAATAAAAGGGGTTTGAACAGGCATGACTCATCCGCTCTGACGAAAGATTCCTCGGTGAAATCAGAAGTTTTCACTGGACTCCCCATGTAGTGGCTGAAGTGACCAACCACATCACCTGGTGCTGTCAGACAAAGTCGTTCCAGACCAACCACTGCTGGGGTGTCTGGCTGTCATCCAGATGGGGATAGCCATGACAGTATCGTTTCACGAGTTTTCCGGATTGTATATGTATCTATCAATGGAGAGAGATCACAAAAGAGGTGACGGGTGGCCAGGCGGGCGTTTATTGGTGAGACGGAGCGTGCTAAAGCCGCAGCTGCTCCAACGCATAGTTTGGGGTTCGCACAGTTCGCACTATATTTTGTTGGGGGGCTCACTACAAGCATGAACAGGTGAGGAAAATCTAGCCCTTGGAATTTTTGCAAGTGCGGTTTCAAGTAGACTCTAGACATCTTCAGAACAAGAAAACCCTCGAAGTACCCGACCACCTGTACCACAGAAACCTGTTCGCCCGAAGTCCCACGGGTGAACCGCGGTTCCACCGAAAAGGGTCCCCGCCTTCGTACAAATCGGTGGCTCGGATTTGGCCGATGAATGGAAGGGGAGTTTCCCGCCCCGTTGAGAACAACCAGGTCTATATACGGGAAATCGACCCCTCGGCCGCCGTGACAGGTCATCAGGCTCCTGATGGAGCCTGATGCGGATGTTCGCCCTTCACATTTGGGCGATGAGTACAGCACATTTCTTTGGTTCATGTTTCAACTTTCAATACACACACTTGAGAAGGTTGCTCCGTGGAGCGTGATTTCAGGTAGCTTCGCGGTGTGCATTAGCCCTTTAGGTGAATACTTAGCCCTTGACTTGATTCAACGGAAAGAAGTGCAAAGTCCGCTCACTTGAATGTTTCAACAAGAAGTATTAATTTAGTGTATATTAAAAATTGCAGGTACACAGTCAGACGTCTCTGACTGCTTCCCATGACATCACTAGCTTCGTTGGCCAGCGTCGTGATGCCATGCGCTGGCCCCCTGCTTCTGTACAGAAACGCTTGTAGGGTAGATTAGAGAAACTAGGGTAGTGTCCTTGGAAACAGGAGTGGACACACACACACACTGAGCCGTATCGGCGCAACTAGATCGGATCAGGTCTGGATAATAAATAGTGGAAGTGCTTGACATTGAAAGGTTCAATACTGTAAAATACATATCACAGCAGTCTGCGAAAGTGCCGGCACATAGTCTTTTTCCTATTGGCCGCAGCGCCGCGGCGCAGTGTGCTGGTGAATGGCCTTTGGCCATATATAGCTGCATCAATTTCTGTGCGGTCGTGTGGGCGAGATGTTTGGGGTAAGTGTATTTTTGTAGTGTGTGGTGGCGTGATTGTAAGCCTGAAAGGCGTAGTCTGTGACTCCCTGCGGACTGCGGATCACGAATCTGCCAGGAATGGGTGGGGAGTTGGAAGGTGACGGTTCTGTTGAGAGGGTCAATCAAGAAACCGAGTAGATGGTCGTCGTCCACTGGCTCTATTTCGACTGGTTGTTCGTAAAATTCAGGATGGGCCAATGTAGTGATGGGGAGTGCTGATCTGTATTGTTCGTTGAGCAAGATGTATCGGTTGTCGACGTAGCGAGTGTTGAGCAAGTGAAGGCTTGGTTGTTGTAAGAAGGTGTGGTATGTGGTTCGCCAAGTGTGTTCGATGAGCGTGATTGCCACATTGCAAAGTGCTGGTGAGAGCTGACTGCCAATGCCGGCTCCTTGAATTTGTTTGTAGTAGGTGTTGCAAGCTTGGAAAATGCATGAGTGAAGAGCTTGTTGAACGATAAGAGGAATGTGTTGTGTGTCAAGTGTGCGTTGTTGTGGGTGGTGGATGTAGTGTCGACCGATGTGTGAGTGTTGGATGGGGTTGCCGGTAGACTGGACATCGATGGTGATGGTAGTGGTGTTGTGTTGTGCTTTCCAGCGATTGCACAGGCTGATGACTGCGTCGACAAGGCGTTGTTGAGGTACACTGTTGAAGAAGCCGACAAGGTCGTCGTTGATCGGTGTGAGGTGGATGTCTTCGGGTGTGGTCTGGAAATGGTTGTGGAGGTGTTGCCAAAGGTTGGGTATAGATAATTGGCCTGGATGTTGGGGTAGAAGATGAAGGAGCATAATGTCTAGTGCTTTGGAGGTGGCTCGTAATAATGTGCCTGCGATGGATCTGAAGTAGCTGATGACTGTTCTACCCTTTCGCCAGGATTTCTTTTGTTTGAGGAAGACTACTCCATGTGGTGTGTAGAATTTGGTGCGGAAGCCCCAGGGGTATGCTTTGCGAATGCTGGCTGGAAAAGATTGTGTGAGAACTTGGTGGAGTTGTTGGGCGGTGAGATCTGGTAGTGGAAGAAAAAGTTGTGGTGTATTCCATGTGGTGAGACATCCGTGGAAGTAGTGCTGTGGGCAAAAGAGTCGTAGGTTTTGTAGTTCATGGTCAGCATGATGGAGTACCAGCTTGTCTGTAAGAAACTGTTGGAGCTGTGTAACGTTGCGGGAGGTAAAGCGGGGCGTGTGTAAAAGATTGTCGATGTGTTGTTTCCATTGTTGGTGTAGAAAAGGTAGGCTGTGTTGATGGAGGGCAGTGGGTAGACCATGGTGTCTTAGCCAGTGAGTGAGTTGTTGTTCAAAATGTTGGAAATATTGCGTCTTTGTGGGAAAGAAAGTGCTGTTCATGTTGGCTTGTATGAATAGCTCAAGATGGCTGGGGAGCTGTAGGTCTTCAAGTGTAAGTACGTAGTGACCATCGTAGAGCGGCGGTGTGTGGTTGGGACGAAGCAAGGTGTGCATGTGGTGGCAGCTGCATGGCATGTCTGCGGCTGTGGGATGTGTGGAGAAGAGTTCTTCCCAACGTTTGTGGTTGTAGAGCCGGGAACGCAAAGTCTTGTGTGCTGCTTCGCGTAGTTTGGTAGTAGGGGGGTGGAAGGGAATGACGTGATGCATGTGGTGTTGGATCAGTGTGCGAAGCCATTTTTCCGTGGAAGACGAGAAGGTATTGTGGGAGAGGAAAGGAATGGTAAAGGGTTTGTTGGCTTTGGGTGGAGTGAGATTGCGAAAGCTGAGTGCTGAGTGGAGAAGGTGAAGAACACGTGATCGATCTGGTTCCTCTAAGCTGGCGGCCATGCGACGGAAAGCGTAAATTTCAAGATCAGTGTATTTGCCGCTGCGGATGGCTGTTGATGTTTGAAAAGATGAAAGTGTATGCTTGCTGAGCTCGCGTAAAACTGTAAGGGCGTGTAGGCGTTGACTTGTGTGAAGGTGGGGTTGCTTGATGGTGTGTTGTCGTCGTCGGAGCCGTTGGAAGAGACGTTTGTGAGTGGACATCCGTGTGAAAGTGGTGCGATGTTTTGAAAATTGCCAACCTGAGGCTTTGAGTTTGAGGTGTCTTTGGATATAGGGCCAGTTGAGTGTAGGTTGCCATTCTTGGATCCGCAGGTGTTCGTAGGTCCATGCTTGATCATAGGTGTCGTGATGGGAAAGGTAAATAGTGCTGTAGTGGTGGAGGTTGTTCTTGGAGTGCCAGTAGCGTAGAGAAAGTTCAGCTGAAATGGGATGGTTATTGTGTAATTGTTTGAGTTTTGCGTGTCGATTGTATTCTCGCTTGGGGATGGTGATGCTGGTAGAGCCGATGTATGTATGTCCATGTTGGTGGTATTGGTGTCTTGTGTGATGTTGGTTGAAAAAGAGCTTGGCATAAACCGCATTGGGATGCGTGAACATTTGGTAGTGATAAGTGTGTGGTGTAACTTGTAATTGGTTGAAACGGGAGCGCCATTGTATAGAGTGATGTGTTTGTGACGGAAAGGCAAAGAGGCATGTGAGGTGAATAAGACTGATAGAAAAGATGGCGTGTGACTTGTCAATGTAGGGTGTGAAATGGACAAAGTGTGATAGGGCTGTGTGTAATGTTGTTAAGGATTGTAGGGTGTGATGTGTTGGTTGATGCAGCGCTTGTTGTACGAGTCAGGCTGCCAATGCCGAACCCGCGGCGACCAGTTGCTGTAGTGAACGTGGGGGAAGCTTGAGGACCCGAGCCAGCGGGATGCCATAGCGGGTAGCTGCTTCTTGGAGTTGTTCTTTGGTGATATGTTCATCTCGTAGAATCTGCTGGATGTTGGTGACTTGTGTCTGAGTGGCTGGTGGTAATGTCTTGAGCCATTTCTGAATGCCAGCTGCTGCATAGTTGGCTGGTGAGTTGTCATGGAGTGTTTGTGTGGTGGGATTGAGAATGGTCGTGGTTGTGATGGCGGTAGGGGCTGGGAGTGGGAGATGCGGTGTGTGGGTGGCGGATGATGGGGCATGTTGTGATCCTGGCTTGGTTGGTGTGAGCGCAATGCCATGATTCTTCAGCTTGTCGCGAGCGCGCTGGAGTTCGCTCTCTTGTTGTTGTAAGCGATCTGTCTGTTGCTGGAGCTTTCGGAGTGCTGTGCCTTCGCCGGCTGGTGGTGTAAGGCCTCGTAGAAAGTCAATGATGCGAGAAATAAGTGGTTGCATGAATTGTTTGGCTTCTGTGGTTTTGTTTGGAATGGACTGATCTGCTTGTTG